TAAAATGTCCCTGTTGTCAGGATTTATCAAAAAGTCAAGCAAAAAAACAGCCACCTTAAGGCAACAGTGCCACCAAGTGTTTAGCAAAAGAATATTTTTCACTTTAAAAATTAATTATATTCTTAACTCCATGTACATCTTGCATGCATATAATTAATACTAAATTACAAAGAAGAATCAAATACAGTCCCCTAGTAATTTGGGTGGTATTTAATAGAATTTTAATCCGATGTTCATATTTGTTTTTAGTTTAAAAGTAATCTGTTTGGGTGGTGTTTAACAGAATTTAATCATATGTTCATATTTGTTTTTAAGCTCCAATGTATCTGATCTAGTTTTTCTTCATGAGGCCTGAGCGAAGCATTCAGAAGAGTTATTTTGCAAAGTTGGTTTAATGCTCCTTGAACCATCAACGCAGCTAGGTCCTCTGGCAGGTTTGATGCGGTTGTTTTTAAAGGGTTTCCTCCATTGTCTGCATGCTAACATGTATGCACAGAAATCCTTCCATTGGAACCACCACCACTACCACCAAAGGTGACTATGCCTAGAGACAATGGGGGAAAACCTTCAAAATAGTTGCACTGAACATTCTGGAGAATGTGGCTGCTTCAGGGCTTTAAGGAGAGATGTGTGGCTTGCCCAATGCACTTTGACAAGCATCCTGTCAAATCTTTCACACTAAACTTTTTATACTAAAACTCTTAAGTACACAGTTTGTTTCTGATTGCATACATAAAAACCCAATTAAAGGCAAGTATTTATTCCACTACTTTTATTCCAGTTGGCTCAAAGTTTTTATCTAAAGCTCCTGAGTAGCCAAAATCCTGCACACTGAGCTAGCAGCACCAGTGCACACTAGCTACTTCTGCAGATAAGCAATGCATAACGTCAGCACTGTCTGGCTGCATTTCCATTATGAAGGGGCAATTTATTGCAACCTTGGTTGGCACCCTCCCATTTACTCAGTGGAATTTGTGTTTAGCAGAGCATACACGTGTGAGTAGAATCTAACCTCAGAGGCAGTACCCTTAGAGTACTTAGGGACAGGTGCCTAAGGTTTAGAAGTACAAATAAAGTTTATTCAGGAAATTGTACACTGTTGTACATGGCTCCATTATACATGGCTCCATCCCTTGATGAATGAGCTTCCTGTCCTCATGGTGGTAAAATTGAGAAGGAAGCATAAAATTCTTGATTCTTCCTGCAGGAAATAGGCTGAAGGGAAGAATCTCACTCTACCAAGGGACAAAGACCAGACCTTTATTCCAAGTGGTCAGTAAAATAAAATGTGCAAAGAATGGATGCTTCTGAACCTACAGATCCAACATTTGTCTAGTTGATAATACACATCACTGAATGTAAAACAACTGAAAGTATTATGAAAGACTATATTATTCAGCAGTGAAATTTCATGATTAGCTTGGTATCAATAGATCTGTGCAGTTTGTTCCATGTGCAGCTTGTTCCAAGGTGTTTTAGGCTTTTATTTTTCAAGCAGTAGCTCCTTAGACCTCATGGGAGAAAGCACATTTGAAATATGGATTTTAAAGTAGGAGCAGACAGAATCCCCTGGATTCTTCTCAATGCTTATTTTGTGACAAGCTGAAGTCGCTTTTATTTAATTTCATTGGATACAGGTAGTCCCTGGGTTAAAAATAGGTTTAAGGACAACCCATAGTTAAGAACGGAGCCTACTGTAGCAAAATTTGAGTTAAATACACAATGATTTGAGTTAAATACACAATGGTACGAGTTCATTACACAATACTACTTATACAATATATAAGATATCAAATAAATAAATAACACAATAATACTGTTCCAGCTTACATACAGTATACATTTGACAAGGGTAGACCTTGGGAACAGAATTCATTCTTAAAATGGGGACTACCTGTACCTCTTGTGGAAATAGTTCTGTAATACCTAGTTTAATTTTGCATTTTTTAATAATGTGTACCAACTTTTCCTCTTGCTGCTATTAAATTTTTATTGTTTGTTTTTTTCAATTTTATGTGTCTTTTCTTATTGTATTTTGTGTGTCTTTCCTTATTACATTTTGATTTTTCATCATTTATTTCTGTTGATTATATTGTACAATTTTATGATTAGGGTTTTACATCAATCTGCCTACATTTAATAAGAACATGGGATATTATTATAATGTTTTCATCATATAAATTTCTAAAGCTAGTTTCCATGCCTACTTTAGCTTCAGAAAAATGCTTCTCACTGCATATAAGTCTGACACATAGCTTTTTTGATAATTCAGCATTTTGGGACTTATGTAAAGTTTTTATTTTGTCATACTTCTGCATAAATGTTATATATACCTTGAGTTACATTAATGTAAGACTGCTCTGTGAGATTTAAAATGATTTTAGCCTATATGAGTTGTATAATGTATTATCTAAATATGAACATTCATAAAAATGTTGGCTGTGTTATATTTGAACTTGAGGAGGAAATTAATTGTAAATCTCAGAGACATCCATTTTAGTACTTTAAGTTCCTATTGTAAATTGTCCAATATCAAATTAACTTTTGCTGGGCTTCCCTGACAGTAGCGATTGATTCCCTGATAAAAAGTCTCCAGATGCTATGATTGTATTTTATAAATGGCACAACTGGACTCTGCAATGGTTTAAATACGATATTGTGTGACAGATGTGCTCTAATATAACTGTTAATATTCAGCATGTTGCTGAACCCATTGTACATTAAAGCTGAAGAAGCATCACAACAGAAAACAAAGTTTTTAAGTCTCAGTAAGACAACTGTAAGTGGACTAATATCAAGATGGAAGCTTTTCTTTGCCATTTATGCAGAAAATCTGAAGGTGATGGTGATAGATCAAGATGTGTACATAGGACTCCTAGTTCATTTAGGGTGATCAGCCATGAATCTATGCAGTCATCTGAGTTTGATGCTTTTCTGGGATGAAGAAAGCAAAGTGGTTGCTTTGTTGAGCTCAATGAGTCATAAAGCCTATAGACCAAAATATACAGTTTGTAAACATAAACTTCAAGTGAAGCTTCAAATTAAACTGACTTAAAACATTTGAAGGAGTCCACACAAGGAACAAGCCACCATTGTGTGTGCCAAGAAGTTCATTTCCCTTAATTGTAGCAGAGGAAACATGCCAAAGGCTGATGGTTGGAACTGATTGGGGTGATGTGTTTCACAAATACTTGAAAAATGCTTTTTATGGAAGATCAAACCTACAACACCTATCTTTTATCTATGGCTTGAGTTGAGAATATGCAGTAGTTATGAATCCATAAGATTTCAGTCATTTGAACAATGTCATGTTCTCCACTTGTGAGACTTTCAATTCCTCATTTGCAATAGAGAATCTCAAGCTGTTGTTTGATCAGTCCATACTGATTGCTGGAATCAGTTTGTAAAGAAATAGAGTGTTTTATTTTGAAAGAGGAATTGGTAAGCATGGCAGCTGTGTTAAATGTTTGTCTAAAATAAGCCATGCATGGAGAGGGTTAAAGTACAATAGCATAGGAGTAAAATGGCATCTGAATTATTGAAGGAAGGCTGCCCAGATGTAGATTACAGAAAATGCTCTTAACCATTTTCTTATGCAGCATGCACTAGTGAGCATTTTTAACTTGAGGACTATCCAATGGAATACTATTATTATCTGTTATTGTTTTCTAGATGGGAGTTCATGTTGTGGATTCCTCTGTTTCGGGCTTAGGAGGCTGTCCATATGCAAAAGGTGCCACTGGAAATGTAGCCACAGAAGATGTGATATACATGCTTAATGGCTTGGGGATCAATACAGTAAGCTAATTTTCATATCTCTATCAGATTCTGCATAATTGCTAAAATTGGGGGCCACTGAAATAGCATATACAGTGTGTGATGCTTGTTATACTGATTTCAAATAATATAATGTGTTATTTTTTTATACCATTTATAAATCAGTGCACACTAATGTATTCTAGGACAGCAATCTGTTAGGAGAGATTGCCTTTTCCACAGAATAGGCATATGTGATCATCTCTGTTAAAGGGATTGCATAATCCTATTCTTGTAGTTATACATACGTGAATTTGTATGTAAATCTAACTAGTTTTCCCAGGATAGGAATGTATCTCAGGCAATTATAAAATTCTTTTTAAAATAGTTTTAAGCCTTACTGTTACTTGAGTTCTAGACTTTGTAGTTCATTTTCTGTTATCAATTTCTTTATTGATAGCGCGTACCATTTACTAAAATTAAACATTGCCCAGTGTTTACATTATCTCCACGTACATGTTCTTGCTTGGTTGACTGATGATGCTAAAGAACACAATGGATTTATTTCCCCTTTTAAAAGCCGTAGTACTTTCAGATGAGCTGAGATCTTTGAAGTGACAGTTAATTCCTCATTTAGAACAAGATTCAGACTGATTAGATCAAATTGTCAGTTTACTCTGGGAAAGCTCAGACACAGCATCTACACATAGTTGTGTATACTTCTGCAAAGGTCAGCTCAATGAACATGTGGCAAATGACCATTAGATTTAAGACGCTGAAACATTTTTCTTTTCAAAAGATAACATGTATGTGTCAAAAGAATATTAGAATCCCAAAGCAGTTATGATTCAGTGCTATTTATGCAGAAGTCCCTGCTCATCAGATTTCTTCCAGTTTACTCAGTGCCTAAATACATATTCAGTAAATACACTTCCAAGAAGAAATGTGCATGGGATAGTTTGAATCTGAAGTAAAAAGATGCTATTTTTAGATTTCCTGACTAGTTCATCTCTCTTATAGCAGGATTCTTTCAGTTTCTTCCATCTCCAGTTAAAATAGAAACTGCCTTTTGCCAAGTGACTTTATGTGTGCATTTGTACTAGAAATGTGCTTACACTCCAGCACAGATGCTCACTCAGTTGAGAGTCCCTAAGATTTTCCCTTCCACCTGGACTTTGCAGCCTCCAGTAATTTGGGGGACTAGTCTGCCTGGTCACTGCCTCCACTTATTCTTCACAGAGAAATTTCCTCTTGAAACCAGTCTCTCAGGAGGAGGTGACTCCTTCTCTCTCCCTCCCTCCCTCTCCTTCCCCTTTGTAGCTAAGTGGGGTGGCCAGGATGGATGAAAAGCTAAATTCCCTGTCAGAAGGAAACACTGAATGTCAGAAGATACAAGTTGTTTGCTATGTAGATTAAGGTTAAGAAGCTAATTGAACATTGAAGACAGTGAGAGAAAAAGAAAAGGAAAATCTCACACATTCTGTAGGTTTTAATTTTCAATTTATCTTCCTGGTGCAAAAAAACATGGAGGCACAGCTCCCATGTAGGTAGAACAAAACAGATATAGCAGAGATCAGTCCATAATATAGACGGCTTAATTTCTTCTACCTCTCCAAGCTCACTTCAAGTGAGCTGGGGTGTATTTCTTACCTGGTGGAGGCCAGATGGGAAAGATGCTCTCCTCCATGACCCAGAATAAGGGCAACATAAGCTTCCTTCTTGTCTGTTTCAAAGCCCACTTTTTGCTTGGTTGGTTGCTTAAAATTTGAGTTTCCTGGGCTTTGCTAGACTCTGCCCACTATCTTGATTGATTGATTGATTGATTGATTGACTTTTTCATTCCTAAACCTCTAGGAGTGTTTTCTCCTCTTTCACTACAGCATCTAACTATAGAGCTGGTTTTTTCTGGCTTTTTAAGGTAAAAATGGAAATAGGATAACTTGGAAGCTAAGCACCCTCATACTTAACCTTAACCTCAACTTTAAAATACTATCCAATATTGCTGCTTTAGGAGCCATGTTTTGGAATTGTGCAAGATTAAGACTGGGAACGGGAGTGGCCATCTTTTATTCTGTAAAAAAAAAAAAGTCCCAAAAATATTGTCATTTTGCTGCCAAAATTCTGGTGGTGAATGTCAGGTCATAGGTGCCTTCACAGAAGTGATGACTGAGGGTTGAACATACCTGCAGGTTGCCCATCTTATCATAGTGGGCATGCTAGAATGCCCCAGCTATATTTAATGTAGATAAGTGGGGAAAAGAAAACATCTTCAGTAAAGTTGGTTAAAAAGAGAAAATCCACCACATTGGGTCATACAGAGATGTAGCAAAGAGTGTTTTCAGTGACTGTATTCTGGATTCCTTTCTTTCTTCTTGCTTACCTAGGTCAAACTGAATTATGCCAGAACTTTCCTTGCACCTTGCTTTTTTAATACAACATTTCTGTTTTTGAGTGACACCTCTGTCTTTCCTTCCATTGACACTCACACTTCTATCTGCTGAAATTATGACTCATATCTCAGGCCCATTTAACTATTGTTTTTTCTTACAGCCACAAACTCATATAGAATATACAGTACTGTGCAGATGTTTTAGGCAGGTGTGAAAAAATGGTGTAAAGTAAGAATGCTTTCAAAAATATATATTGTA